TACCTATAAAGAATAATTACTATAAAGTGGAGTAGCCAAGATTTTGGAGTGGGGGGAGGGTTTGTTGACAAAGTTAAAAAAATCAGCAATTGTTTTATGATCTGATAAACGCAACAAAAAAAATTAGAATAAAAATTATAACGCATACCTAAATACTGCCAATGTCAACCCAATTAAAAAGAGCACCTATATAGCAATTTTAAATAGTTTTATAGTTTTATACCTACTGATTATATTTGGTTATATATACTTTTGGGCACAATAAGATATTTTTACTTGGGAATTGGGAGAACTATTGGGAACATACATATAGGTACACATATATTTTTATTTTATTACTTTTAGAGTCTATTAGTGTTACCCAGGAGACACCACTATAGGTGTATTAGCTCTTAAGGGGACGTTACAGTGACATTTATTGTCTCCGTCTTACATAACAAATTTTACTTTCAGCAGATCACGTTTATCTTCGTTAGTTTAAAATCAGAGTGAAATGATACCTTATGAAATGTAAAGATAAGATTATTATTTAGGCAATGACATAGGCTATTATTATATTTTAATTTTAAAGCGAGTTATGAATTTTTCTAAGATGTACAAACAATTTAAATTTAAATTGTATAAGAGGTCTATTCACTCTAATTTTAAACTAACGGAGATATCAGATAACATGATCTTCTGAGCTTAAAATTGTCTATGTTACGCAATTGTACGACGGAGAGATGTCATTAAACTTAATTGTCTCTCAAAATTTGTTTTTTGCAACTAATTTAAAAATATTTTTAATATCACATAATATTACCTGTATTAAATCATTAGGTAACTACAAAAATACTAAATCTACTAAAATCAAGTCATATTTAATTTTATTTACTACTGTCTTATTTACTATTACAATTTATTTTTTTTTCCGAGATAACGTGAACCGAATAACCGATGTCATATAAATATTTCTTAAAATCATTGTCATTATTAAATTCATTACATTTTTTTAAACTTATTCAACGTTGTGTTATCTTATGTAACATAACTGTTATGTTCCAGTAATTAGGTACAATAACTAATTTTGCTTCCGTCTTTATTTATTCCAAATTCACATATAAAATTATTAATTATACCGCACTTTTTACCACGAAGGGTGGTAATATTCATTATTCATTATTCATAATCATGATTTGTACTGTTCAGTTTAGAAAAAGGAATAAAACTGAGATAGGTACTTGAGTGATTGAATGAATAAAGAAATCTGTATAGTCATATTAGTATACGTATCATATTAATGTAGGTGTAATAAATATTATAGACTTATATTGTATATTATGTTTAGCAAACGTTCACTGATTTAACAGGGAAAATTATAAAATACCTTTTATTCTATGTGTCCAAACTTTGGGTCTATTTGTACCCAAACGTGTTGGCCTTTAGGTCAATGTGCCCAAAATAATAGTGCCAATGCCCCCCACGTGGCTGCACCACTGAACATGGGATGTAGGTGAGAAACCTAACTAATAAAAATGGTCATAAAAACTCATGATTTCTCAAAAATGCAATGTTTGGAAAGAAAACAATATCACGAAGAGATACATCTTTTTTCATTTTTTAATGAACTTAGAAATTCATTCACAATATTTGTAGAAGGTAGGTAGTATAATTAATAATCATTACGTTTTCAGGCATACAAAAAAAAACTTGATAATCTAAGAAGTAAGAAGTGATAATATTTTCCAGACTGTAAGTTTAACATGTTTATTTCAAAATTACAAATTCAAACCAAAACACATTATATATACTCGTATTATTAAGAGTAATAAACCTATATTATTTGATAAAGTGATGTAGGCTAGTATAAAGTTATTCTAACACAACATATATAAGCATGACAAAGTATCGAAGAAACTTGATTTGGCAGTATGAAAAATTTTATAATTATTGTATACTTTGTTGTAGGAAAAAAGTATTCTTTAAAAAAACATTATGATATTCAAACTTGTATCCAAAGATTATATAAAATTTTAAAAGATATTCGTAGATATTTTCAATATTATTTCATAATATTGGATTTTTAGAAACCAACAGATAAACACTACCTATATAATATTATATATTAAATATCAAATTTAAATAGTAAAAACCTACATTGCTGTGATCAAAAATGAGTATCAGTCTATCAAATATAGTCACATCATACCGGTATTGAGCATTGAATTATAAAAATGTACTCGTGGCTATAAAACAACAATGTATTTTATTTACACGTACCTATTGATATTTGCATAAGAAGCTCACGTGGGATCAGACAAAATGACGAAAACAATTTACTCGTTCAATAATCCTACGTGTTTGCTAAAGCCGAGCCATTTTGAAATTACCTTTCGTCTACTGAATTGTGTTTTGTATTTTTAAGAAGGAACCCCTTTTTATATTATATAGGTATGTGTGCGGTTCAATGTGTGCCAATCGCTCACCGAGTTTTACACTCCCAAATCTGTTTATACTAGCTGGTATAATGGAATGTTCTCTTTATCATATATGTCATTTACACTCAAACTCACTTAACCTAATTCCTTGAAGAAAAAAAAACATTATTTCAAACTTCTGTTTCAAACTTCTTTTTCAAACTTCTGTTAGTCCAAATTAAAATTCAATAGCACTAATATCCCTAAGTAAAAGTCAAAAGTTGAACCTGCGATTTGTTAACTTATACCTAATTGAACGCAAGTTATGTGAAAGCAATGCACCTAATTAAATCATTATTATTATTATTGGTAGAAACTCTGTTTCGAAAGCTGTTCATTTGATTTAGAGGTTAATATTGAAAACTCGTCTAAAGATAAAACGTTATATACACTATACTTGTAATAATTATGGTTTTCTTTTTTACAACAGAACAAAAATATATTATCCATAATCTATATTAATTTAAAAATAATAATTTTATCAGCATGTTAATATTAAGTTTATTCATTTTAAGACAGTGTCAAAATAGTTTCAATACAAATAATATATTGTAATAAACGTAGGGCTATACCTACTATTCAATATGTCTTATTTTTGTAGTGGTCCATTACACTTGTCTTCAACTTCCAATACTAGAAACATAATTCGAAATTAAATATGTTCAAAACAAAATTATAAAAAAGGTGATGATTTATAGCGATCGATAGAAATGCACAATAACGCATAATATATTATAAAGTATATACCGAGACTATTATATTATAAGCTTATAATCAATATGTTCGGTTTTCTAATTGAATTATATGAGTGGTATTAAGTACCGGTGTCGATATTTGCTCAACACCATTTCAAAATGGCATAATTGCACTATCACGTACCTACATTTGGCATACACACAGGTCACAGACAGTATGATCTAACTTTTATAAGTTGAAATGTTGGATATCACTGCAAAAATGAAAAATGTAAGATCTACTGGATGATACCATGGACTAAGATATCTTAGTCCATCAGTCCATGGATGATACCAAGAAATGTACTCTGTCCACTTGTATACTGCAAGCATAGACCTATAAACTTAGTGTTTAGTTCTATGACTGCAAATATTGTACATTTGTACCTATATCAACTAAATACATACATAATAAAAATCTATGGACTCGTATAACCAATTAACTCGGAACTCCAAACGTACGGGTAAATCGATGCAGCATAGTTAACGATAACGCAAAGTACACAATCCTAATGAATTTCTTAATTCTCATAATCCATCCGAACTGCTTCCGCCTCACGTAATACATTTAATAATAATTGGTATTTCTATTATTTTGTTGCTGCGATATCTAACAGTTAACACTACCAAAACAATAGTCAGGCACTATCGATTGCACTTATAGTGCACGATATGGTGGAGCAGCTAGCGCGAATGGGTGTGTATATGTGTGTGTGGTGAGTCACCACTCACCAGTCACCTGGACATATTGAATAGTACCAACATTCAGGTTAGAACATGTTGTTGTTAGTTGTTACTATACAATACTACGAGAAAACAATTAATAAATAGTTTAAGTTTTAGAAAATATGTCAAAGAATCTCAAGGTGTTTACAGAATCATAATCAGATTAGCCAAAACTTCACAATGTTTACATAATAGAAGGTCTAAAAACGATATATTATATTGACCGACAGAACTCACCATAACACAAAATAGTTTGAAAAAAGTTAGGCTGTTGGCTGAAAAACAAAACAAAATAAAGTTACATTAAATACCTAGGGCAACTTAAATTGTAAGAATAATTTATCAGTCAGAAGGTTAGTCAGTCTGAAGTTGTAAATTATAAAAAAAAATGTTTAATGATCAAACGTCTTTTTGTTACATTCATTACCTGAAACCCGATTAAAATAAAAAATTATTGTTTTATTTGGTTTTCACTTTTCAGTTTGATTTTAATACCTTTTTTTAGATCATTGCATGTAAGTGGTTATATTAAAACAATACAGTTACATATTATAGTCGTATAGATAGGTATCTATTAAATTAGTATTTAATAAATATGCTAAATAAATACAGAAATTATTGCTGAATTATTGCTGAATCTATTTCCTGAATTTGGTATACCTAGTAAGGCTAGTATTTTATCCACCTTTCTTACAAAATATAGTCGGGACTCGTGAGGTCATTATGACATTATGTATATTTGTTAAATAACTAGAGGTTATTTTTATTAAAAATCAGTTTGAAATTTGGGATATAGATTTTCAAATGAAATATTGAATATAATTTAATATGAGAACAATTATTTACTAATTGTATCAATAATTTTGAACTACCTACTAAATATTATTATCTTCATCAATAATTGAATAAATACATCATATTATTATTAATTCTATATAAATATGTAATCCAAGTTCTAATAATACTTAGTTTCTTTATTAAATACATTTTTAATATTTATTTTCAGATTGAAACTTTATGTTCTACCTACAACCCAAACGTATTTATAGTTATGTATTCGGTAGTCGACGAGAGGAGTTTTGATATGGCAGAACAGATGTTACTGTTTCTATGGAAAGGCGAGTACATTCATACAAGAGGTGTGATATTGGTTGGCAACAAATCAGACTTGGAACGGACAAGAAAAATTCAAACAAATGGTTAGAAAATATTTTAATGACTAAATTTGTTCAAATTATAAATAATTTTTCTTTTAAACAGTTGGACGAAATTTGGCATACAGTTGGAACTGTAAATTTATTGAAACTTCAAGTGGTATCGATCATAATGTGGACAAGCTACTAGTTGGAATTTTGGCTCAAATCAAGCTAAACCCGCTCAGAGAAAGGATGTATAACAGCAAAAGGAAAAAATATAGCGTCACAAAACTGTATAAAGACTTTTTAGCATACTTAAGAGGTGTCAAATCCAGTGAAAATTTGTTCAGTATTTAATTATTTTATTAACATGACATATTTTAATATTTTTCGTGGACCAATTTCTTTATCCGATACCCAATTTATATCCACCCCCCTCAAGTACAAAAATTTACAAATTTTATATAAAATTGAATATTACAAAAAAATAAATACATATCTAACTTTAGATGAAATAGTATTTGTAAAATATATTTATGTCACATTGTTTTTATATTAAAAACCTCTCATCAATTAAGGTTTTCTTGGCCAAATTCCTTTTGCCAAATGTTGTTCTGATGACGCTCATTACCTATACATGAACACATAATTCGATTAAGTATTAATATTTATATAAGACAAATTGTATTCCTAATTTTGTAATACAATACAATTCTTAAAAAAATTACATTTATAAAAGTAGTACTTAAATTGCATACCTAAGCATGTATACAATATAATATAATATAACCAGTATAACTCACAACTATATTTATGTATACTTTTATTTTAAGCATAATTCCTATGATTACCAACCTTGATTAAAAATCCTGTAATAATTCCAGAGAGCACGATATTTTCCGTAAGTACATAAAAAAATGACAACATCATCAAGTCAAATATTACTAAAGTACACTCATTTCCGTAAAAAATCACTTGATCAAACGAATGCCCGTCATCTATAAAATCATTATTATACAATATTACACAAATTATAATATAAATATAACAATAAGAATTTTGTAGTTAGTACACTCACCTATGAAAAATACTCCTTTGTCCAAAGGGTCTGAGTATTCAATCCCTAATAGCTTCTCGACGAAAGTCTTTTCACGAATTTCATAATCCAAATCTTTTAAAGCCTAAAATGAATTATATTATATTAAATCAAATTTATTTTGATTTTATAGTAATTAGTAAAATTGTTAACACACGTGATCCAAGAAAGCTGCTAAGAATTTATTCATATTATTGTATGCTTGGCCTATTTTTACCATATCTGTTTTATCTACTTTTTTAATTCTAAACGATGAGCCTGAGATCTGTTTGGATTGGATCTAAAAAAAAATATCAATAAAAGGTTCAACAAAATAATTTTGAATAAATAATTTAATATTTAGGTAGTAAATAATATGAGGTGGTATTTATTTTACATTGTTCAAGGGTGCCATAACTCGTCGGTAGTATGTCTTCAAAGATGAAGGAATAGTCATTTCGAACGTCTGATTCTCCGTACCTGGCATCAAACCTCTGTGCCTTACCATATTGTCTTCTTCTCTTCTCAGTTGGCCAATCAAACTCTCCATGTCAGTATCCGAAAATCCATGGGCAGATCTATGTACAAATCATGTTTGAATCATTTGTCAGTTATCAGCCATTCACAATGTTCGTCTGAACTTCATACAATGGTATAACGTAATGAACCTTGTTTACCTGCCATGTATATAGTAACCAAAAAATTCCGCAGACAAAATGAACACACTGATATTGGCCAACGAACAGATATCGACAAACTGCTGAATACAATTCTTTATGTACCTCTCATATATTGCTACTGTCGTTATCCACTGTACGTAGAAAATGTAAATTTTTAGTTTATACAAATTAAATAACAATATTTTGGTCCAAGCTAATAATTTCAAAAAGTTTCAAACTATTAATTTTAACTACATTTGACCCTAAATTAACAAAACACAATTTTAGCTTGGGATATAGCTGGTAATTAAAGGCAAAAATTAATATTAAATCTATCATCATACTTGTATATAATATATTAAAAACTAAATAAAAATCCCAACATTTTGCATTGTTTAGCAAAACGCATTATTAGTAAAATGTTGTCATTATCAGCGACGAGAACGGAGCGATGAATGTAAATTAAAGTAATTGATTTTACAATGATGTGTGTTTTTTTTTCATTTATAATTATTTTTTATTTTTTATTTTTTGATTCTGCCATCACCGTTTGGGATAGTAAAAGTGCTTCCACTTTCTTCAACAGTTTCTTGTTCGATTGGAAAGTGAATCTAGTTGGTGCATTCAGGAAGTCAACATTAAAAATTCCCAATATTTTTCAAAATTGCCGGGAAAAACAACTTAAAAATTAAGGAAAAACGGGAATTTTTACTCAAAATTGGTTTTCTACGAAATCCATTTTGGTTTTTAGCATAACTCTAAAATTTACATGAAAATTTCACTGAACTATATTAGTATTACACTATATTAGCATTTTCTATACAGTATACGCCATTATTTTGTAAATTAAGTTTTTCTGTCAATAAAAAAATATAAGAAATGCGTATATTTTTATAAACTGACATGTTTGGCTGTATCAAATAAAATATAAGATTTTATCTTATATAGGCTGGTGAAGGAGTGTTTGCTATTTATATACCTACAATATTTTAAATTTCGTGTGTGTCTTTTAGTGGAACATAGATATAAACAATTTCGAATAATGCCTTAAGTTCAAAGTGAAGGGGTTAAACATGACAATTTTTTAAAGAATTTTCAAAACTTATGGTAAAATACTCAATTACCTATATTTTGCGATCAATTTTTATATAAAAACTATTTAACGTGTGATAAAGAATTAACTTTTTTTTGCAAATTTAAAAAAACAAAATGTATACCTATTTTTTAATTTTATCTTTCATATAAAATCAATAGAGATCAAAAACTCAAAATAATATGAATTTTGATTAAAATATGCTATAATATGCAAAATAAAAACTGTTCTATTCTATTCAGTATGAGCCAAATCTTAGACAAACCTAAGTCCAAATCAACTTATGTATTTGGATCAAAGAAAAACAAATATATTAAAGCATTTAAATCCTAGCTCTACAGTTATTAATTTATAATATAATATATAGTTATAATATCTAATATTCAAAATCACGAAACAAAATTCATTAATCACCGCGATTACCATTCCAAAAATGATGTCTTATTAAGACTTCGATAGATAAAATAGAATTTGAAATAGGCAAGAAAAACTCACATATTGTATAGAAGTTAGAACACACAGTTTTTGATAAGTAAACTAATTAAGATTAATAAAGGCAAATACTCTATTTCACACTTTCCTACGTTCTTAACTTTCACAAGAAAATAATAATAGATTATTAATTATTTTGTGCAGTGTTTGTGTTTTATTATTACTAAGAAAATGTTGACAGCAATCTCGAATGATTATGGTTTGTTTAATATGCTTTATAGAGTTAACTTCATTGCAAACAATAAATCACTAAAATAAATAAAATTCATAACCGTGGAATTGTTCTTACCTGAACTATGTACACAATACTGAACACGATAACAAGCATACCAAATCCTAAAAGTTGACTAATCGGTCTATACGGGACTTCGGTTAAATGCACTTCGGGCTCAGCTGCAGCCCAATTTTCCAAACCATAAATCTAAAACAATAATGTAGAATAAAAAATATTTTTTCTAGTAATATAAAACTTATATAGTATGCAGCAGAGTTATTGTCTTATATTGTTTAATATAATATTATACTATGATTTATTTATGTATTTATTATATATTTTTAGTAGGTAATTAGGAAATTTATCAGGATGAAATCGTTAACTTAGTTAGGCCATAATTTCGAAACTAAGTCCGAACTCCAAATTTTGATTTCTTTACTTCACTGTCGATTTCAGACTTCAATATACCTAACTATAGGTACCTACATAAGTTTAAAAAAAAAATTTCAAAAATTAAGAGTATCCGATAAAGTAACAAAATACCCTAATATATTATGTAGATACAAAACAGTTTACGACTTTCGCACAACAGATGATCCGGTAAACTCAGGTGAATTACTAACATTTTACTTATTATATTTTAAGTTGTTCATAAATCCCACATAATTAAATATACGTTATTAATATGTGCATACTTTTAAGAGGAGTATAGTAAACAAGATTTGCAATGGCAAACTAATTTTTCTTTTTGTCTGTATTTCAGCCCATTCGTTTGCTACAAAATAGCTTCTCCATATGCTTACAGTTTGCTTTTGTGTAGCCATTATACCATTTTGTTTCTGATTTGGTGAAATTCTTGGTTTTTCCCAATCTACTAAAAATATATCAATGGTTGTTTGTTTCCATATTAATCGTACAATTTCAACAATCTGCAAAATACATTAACATTAATGATATATTTATAGGTTCCTGATATGTAAATCTTACTCTATATTTTATAAATATACCTTAATTGGTAGGTAACAAAAATATCATGCCTGCCAATGAATGTATTTACATATTAATACATTTTATTAAAACAAAGCTCAACTTTTAAATAAAATATGAATTCTGTTGAGGTTTACTTTTATATAAGTAGTACTTTCAAACGAATGCATAAATAACATATACGATATACTTTTACAAATTTCTTATCAAAGCACTTTTATGTAACAAAAGTTGAATAAGAAAGAGCATAAGAATTTCCAAGGGAATATTTTAATATTTTCAGAGTTGAACAAAAGGTCTTAAGGTACGAATATAATATTAAAGAAAATACATATGACTATATGAGCTATATAATTATTTAGTTTAGTTTAAGTTAAAATTATACACCTCACCAAAACATTTTCATATAATTGGTTTTAAAAAGTCACTTTAAAATACACCATTCAAATGTACTGAACTCATAATATATTATCAAAATGAATCTTACGCTTAGATGATGACGAACTGCCCAACGTTTAGTTCAATAGATAATTATTTAAATTATTTAATGAAGTTTGTGGGTATATTATAACTTATATCTGTATTATACTGTAAATAATTACAAAGATACCAAGATTAACTTAAACTAAAAATAAGGGGAACAAGTAGGTACCTAATCGCTCTGTTGTACAGTAGGAATCGAGTGTACTCTCGTAATTAAGTAAGTCACAGACTTTACATTTGAATTTTTACTTTTGACCCTCCCCCCCCCCAATTAACAACTAATTCTAGTTGTTAATTCTATATATCAGAAAAGATATTGAAGTTGAAACACCTAGAATTTTTAGTTTTTACTTCTTCAAAAGGCTTATGTTGATGACAGATGTTTTTGAACTTAAATATACTATCATTAATCAATCGATATACATACTTTTAATAGGAATGCAATAACTACATAACGATTAACAACAGCTTCCAGATCTTGAGACGGTAAAAGAATGTAAACAACACTCTGAGCTTTATAAAAGAACAATGTATGAACAGCCAATAGTAGACAAACCACAAATATCATATTGGCAAAATGCGAGCAACAAGTAATTGCAAATTGTCCAACTGTCCACAAGTCAATTGCCATTCTTCCACATCGTTTTGATTCACTCCAAGTGTGTATACAGCTCCAGATGAACACACAGCCACTAAGAATACCCAAACTCATCTGAAGAGTAAGCAATAAAAAGGTTAACTATCTGAAAAACTCTGACAGAATATTATACAACAGCCTTACGTCAACATAATGCAGTATATCGTTTTCCATATAAAATTCGACTGTGAACGTCACTGGGCACAGCTCATTTGACGATACATTCTCATCAGTTATCTGACCGTATTCTAAAACCATAAAAGGAGGATAGATATTTCCTTCGTTTTCAATTTCACGTTGAGCTTGTACTCTGAAATTAGAAATAGAAATTCATGATTAATAACTTGCATAGGCGTAGCGTAATAGGGGGGCTATAGCCTATTATGTTTCTGGTACACAACATAAATTCTAAAAATGTAACTAAATACAATTTACGTGAAGGGGGGGGGGGGGCTAAATACAATTTCAGGAGAACTTTTAGGCCCCATAGATCCCCCACTCATTCTACGCCTATGATGATGTTTAATTAATGTTTATAGTTATTTTATGTCACTTACACGAGTTTAACGGTTTTTAAGTATTGTATGACCGTTGGCAAACCTTGGGTCTTAGTAGAGATTCCACTAAACAGATCCATCAGAAACATGCGTCTTGTTAACAACCATTGTGATATATCTCTGCCCTAGAATGTAATTATATATTATGTATTATATCTAATAAATATATTTATATGTATCATAATATATGTATCATATTCATAACCATAACAGCTTTTTTTATGCTTTACACGTTTACTTTTGGTTCAAGGATTTTTTGAGGGGGGGGGGGGGTGAAACAATAAATACGAAAATTCTATCCATGTGATGATTAACACAGATAGTTATTTCTTCAATCTATGTTTATTAAATAATTTTGAGAAGAAAGTAATTTTTATTAATAATATATTGAATTAGAAATTTTAAATTGGGTGGGACGATACATTTGAAGTTCTTAGATCGGACCGTGTGCGTTTTAATATTATGGGAGCCATTGGGCATTGAAATGCCGTTTTCTAAAGACTTCGGCGATTTAGGTAAACTTTACCAGTAATAAAATTAATTCAATCCTATTAAATACATTTGAGTCTGTATATTGTATTATCTAATCATCCAATTAAATAATTAATCATATATTTTAATTTACCAGGTTGGGTGGCACTGCTGAGTGGCTGCCACACAATTTCTAACCGCCTGTCAATAACCATTAATATCAAATTAACTCACTACACTTATTCACTATTGGGTTGTATAGATTGTGAATAATTTTAATTAATTGTATAATACATTTTTTTATTTAATTTATTTATTATAATAATTATTAAAGTATGTAAGCCATGGTACAAGCTACAGGTCCTGTTATCGAGGATTCAATTTCAACTTAAAAAAAAAACAATTACTAATTCACTCAGAATCTAATATAATATTATAACGTATTATAATAATTAATTATAGAATAACTATATTCGATTTATTTAGCAAAAATTAATTCAATCTAAAGGTACTATAATTACTATAATAAGAAATATAAATTACAAAGAGGTATATTAATACCTACTGTAAAATAAATAGGTACATAATATTATAAAATATCTATAGAAATAGAGGCTGACACACAATACACCGTCTCCGATCCAAATTGATTTTGATTTATCTTGGATTCAAATCAAATGTAATACTCAAAACCTACTATATAGCAGAGCATTTTTGAAATAGTATTTACTCTAATAAATCCTGAGATATCTTCAAAGTTCGCAGCCAGGCTGTTCTTATTTATAATACTATTGTAAGTAGGTATTTTTATAAGACTTATAAATGTATGTCAAAAAAAATTGATAAGAACTAATAACTATTCTAATTTCTATTTTCTAGGTAACTTCGACTGGTTATTATTTTGATTATTAACTCAAGTTCAACTTTTGTGAGTACATACAGTTGGTATTGTAAAACTTAATTTGGCAATTACCTTTTCTATAGGTACATACGTTTAAGATTCTAATATACCTATATTATATTATATGACATAATAATATTTTTTTTTAATTTAAGAAACTATAATATAATATGTGCTTGTATAATGTATATTAATAAAATTAATATTATTTAGTTTTTTAAAAACTAATTCAGTTATAAGAGGACTATAATATTTGAGTTAACATTTATTAAAACAAGATGGTACATATACGTATTATACTTATAAGATAATGTCATAATGTTGTATGTTTATTGTAGATATATTTCATTTAATATGTGCCTGCTACTCAATTATATTTTGTAAGATATACAATATATTAACTACACCACTATACGAAAGATACAATTGTAATTTATATTGTTATCCATATATTTTAAACGAATAATGAATAATATAATTATTTAACGCATTTTATCATGTCATATTCAATTGTGTTAAGGGCATAGTTTGATATTTTTTAGCCTTTTAGGCATATTTGTATTCATTTTTTTTTAGAGTTTTTAAGGAAATAACACATAAAATATATCCTGACCCTAATGCTCAGTTATAAGGATTTAACTCACCCGTGTACCTACCTACTGCAACTGACAATCTGGTCAACGTTTATTGAATAATATCACAGTTATTATATTTTTGCAGAATATTTAAAGTTACAATAAATTACATTATTAGGTAAGTACTAAAGAATGTTTACTATTTTAATTATTTAATACTAGCTGATCCCGTGCACTTCGTTTCCCGTTAAATGTACCAACTCTTTATGACTCAAACTTTGTTCAATTCGTTCAGTATTCGGTGTATGGTGTTCAAAATTTATCTTAACTCTTCTGCTGCCTGGGATAAAAATTCTGATTCGCAGCAGTGTATCAGGTAGGCAATCTACCTGTGGTAGTTCGCGGACCCCGTGCTGTTTGTACGTAACTTTATAATTTAACTCTAAACTATCAAAGTTATACCAAGTATGTCACTGAACTCCTCCTAAACGGTTGGACTAATTGTGAATGCCGGAGTCTGTCGACCAATATTTTCTCCTCATCCACAAAGACGTGGCATTGTTTTATGTACGTAACTTATATGTGAGTATAATACGCTCAATATTTACGTCATACATATAATATCAAAACACAGAGTACAAAAAAATTAAATGCATTGAATGAATACCTTGACTGATTATACGGCAACCAATAATTATTATTATAATAGCTTTAAAATCCATGGCGACCATTTATAAACAAAAAGTTCCACCGTAAATCTCTAAATCCCTGTTTGAGCACATGCCATGGTTGGACCTAGGAGGGTGATTTGTAGCCTATGTGTAATTCTGATGTATAAGCTATATTATTGTAAATATTCATTAAAATCCATTCAGTAGTTTTTACGTGAGAAAGTAACGAACATACTTACAAATTGTATAAGTTTATAATATTAGTAGGATAAACTCACTTTATTTGGGTACGTTGATCCCACTTTAATGTTTCGCACCAACAACGGTATTGCGTACAACATGTTCTTTTTACCGTCATCGTATTGTAAGTAAAAGTCATAAAATATGGGCTCTGTGGACACTAATTGTCCGATCAATTGTTTCGCTGGTATATTGCATGTCTGGAAGTATCGAGCACCAAACCGAAATGCCGACTCGATGCCGTTCCATAATCCAGGACACAGTTGAAGCTCGACGGGACTCAATTCGGATAATTTAATTAACGATCCGTTCAAATTATATCTGGCCGCAACCAGCTGCAATTTGCTTTTCTAAAATTAAAACCGTCATTAGTAGCGCCAAGTATGCACTTAAGTTGGTGTCTTTGAACCACCTAAAATGTATTTGGTGGTTGGATTATAGGTGGTTAGTTAGAAAGGAAAAAATAATTTATATAGTAAAAATAATACCTATAGTACTATTATTACTACAATAATAATAGGTATTAAAGTTGTTATTTTTCATAAATATTTATATAACATAGGTACTAGGTAGTAAATACGCCTACTCTTATTAAATACAATAAATAACGTTTTGAGTAATTGCTAAATTAGTTTTTAGAATTCACAAATAAACTATTAAAATATTAAAATCCGTTTAAAATGTTTAAATAGAAGGGGAGGGAACTTCAAGTAGTATCTAAATTCCGTACAATACAAAAATATATAGATACACCTACATATATTAATTCAAAAATATTAAAAACCAATTAATAATTGATTTTCAAAACGTTGGGACATTTTTTAACCAATCGGTTAATATTGTGGGGTTCACGGACATCCACAGGACCACATAACGATGTTCTCGTAAGCCTTAAAAGAAAACCTTGTGTCTTTATCACAAGATCTATTATAAATTATAATTGGCTTAAGAGTTATTGATAAAGGGCTATTAAAATGGTGTTAAACGATGTTTAATTGTATAAAATAAGTCTAGGTATTAGTGAAAATTAGTTAACAAAAATTATTATTTTACAATAAATTATATGTCACGTCTTCTCAACCGAAGATGATTTGTATAGCTATAGTTTTTATTATAATATTTTGGTTTTAAGTTGAATTGTTGTATTGTGAATGTCCATAATGCGAGTAAAGCAACCAAATTGTTCTCCTTCGGTGGCACCTTTAAAATATTTCCCTATATCTATAACAAAAAAACTACTTATCCACCTCTGGTAAGGTCTTAGTAACCCTTTAATGGAATTACTATGTATACTCTGGCGACCAGTTTTAGTCCGTGGCAGTCAAACAGCGCCGGATTGGGAAGAAATTTCTTACCGGGCTGTCTGCCTAGACCGGCCCAAATCTCTGATTCAAAATTTCTTCGAGCGGTCCCAAATCTTTCGAATTTTTAACGGCCCACCGGGTTTTGCACGGTAGCCCGCCGGCTCAATCCGGGCCTGCAGTTAAATAACACGTCTTGTTTATCCCCCTCACCAAGTCACCAATCAATATACCTGCCTTGTAATGTTCTGTATTGCCACGCTCCGCGCACAAGTCGACCGCAGTTTTGTTTCTTATTTTGAACAGACTTCACAGTATAGATACATTGTACGATTTGTACATTTTGTATTATTGAACAGCAAATAGCAACCCAACGATGCTTGATGGTCGAATTTTTAGAAAAAAATCTATAATCTATAATTATATCAAACCCTAATACATAGTAACGCCACCATGTCATTCTCATAATATAACCCGTGGACAAGGCAGTACAATCTTTATAATATTATTATAACACAATATTATGTTTAGATTTTAGTGTCGTTTTTATTTTGAATTTTCGTCGTGATATCGCCACATGGGGGTGAACCGTTTGCACCATATTACCCTTAGAGCTGAAAAATTTAGTATTAATATTTTAGCTTTTTTCGTGGTTCTTGATTGATGTTTTAGGTAAAGTCGATAGTTATAAATTAAAATTGACCATATTCTTTTAAAATTTAAACTGAACTCGGCGTCTCGGCACCATTGCCTATCATAAGTCATTGAAAATACGCAACTATACATGGTAGGAAGGTATTTATTGCAATTCGTTGGTGAACGGTGAGTATACATAATATAATTTACAGGTATACATACACGACTCCCAGGTCTTATGGTGTACTTAGATGTGATTTTTTTCCTGTTCAACGCAACAGAAGCATCTCCTTCGCCGTAGTAAATCCAAGGCAATGGCAAACGGTCAGCATCCGATGACGTTGGTATGCGTCTGTAGTCTTTAAACACCCTGCATGGATTGACTTTCCGCTCGTCCTTGTACATTTGAATCGTGCACAGGTTTCCAAGAGACTCGCACGACATCCTGTTTTTCATCTACCAATCACGTGTATAAGCTTAAATTATTGACTGCTGCTATTGCTGCTTATGCAATGGATCATAATATATTAAATTAATATAATATTTTATACTTTGACGCATTTATACAGAAGTGCCCTCAAATGCTTTTTCAAATACTTGGACTCCACATCCACACCAACGACGTCGTATTCGACGATGTGCGTTTCCCTTTCGTCGGGCCACAAAGTCAGGTTTTGGCTGAACACGCACAGGGTTCCGTCTAAAAGCCATTCGTGTGAAGTCTGTGGACATGTGCAATTCACCACTTGACAGGGTAAACACTGTGTATGATCTAACGACGGGAATGTTCCAGGTGAACAGCGGATACACGATTTTTTAGCCAATGGCAAACCGTTAGGTTCAGTTTCCACTACATATTGTAAAACGAAATTTCAAAAAATTATACTTAGGTATGTACAGTTTTAGACAAAAAAATTGTTTTATAATAATAAGCATCCTATCCATCGCCTATCATCGTGGCCTATGTGCAGGGCAGGATTTATTATATTAGTATAGCTAGGTATATTTATTTCATGTATCATTGTTATATTAACTTTTGGATTATTAATACCTAGCCACCTAGCACCTAGGTACTTCGTACTTACCTTAAAACGTGTGAATAGGTCCGTGGTAGCTAAAGGTATTGTATTAAAATTAATCTAAATATTTTTAAAATATGATTGTGTACCTACCTATATAAAATATAATAATAAGCGTAATTGCGTAAAAGTTTCAAGTGCCTACCTACCTTGAGAATAATATTTTTGTACTACAACAAAATAACTAAAAACGTTATTCTTTGTTTAAAATTTTAATATTTAATTTCAAACACATATTTGAACTTTCAATGTCTAGCTATTAAAAAAAAATTTTAATTAATATTTTTTAAGATTTTTAGATTTCAGTAAAAAAGAGGAACTTTGCATTCAATTTTTAAGGCTTAGCTAGGTATACAAATTGAACAATGTATATCGGTACCTACATTCTTAAATTTAAAATAATTTATAAATGTTCGTTATTTTGATAAAATGTTGAAAATTAAAAGGCTAAAAAAATGTACTGTACAACAGAGCGACTTCCACTTCCCCGCTTTTTAGGGTTCCGTATGATAAAACGGGACCCTATTACTAAGGCTCCGCTGTCCGTCCGTCTGTCACCAGGCTGTATCTCATGAACCATGAAAGTTAGAAAGTTGAAATTTTCACAGATTATGTATTTATGTTGCCGCTATAACAACAAACACTAAAAATCCTAGAATATATAATATAAGCAGTGTTGCCAAGTGCCAACATATTTATAGCTGATGGTACGGAACCCTTCATGCGCGAGTCCAACTCGCACTTGCCAGGTTTTTTATATATATTATTTCATATATTTTCTTTATATCTTATTTTAAAATGCTTATTTGTTTTATCAATATTTTTATTTAATTGATTATTATAGTAATATAGTATAATCTTGAAATATTAACTATGTAGCAATTATTACTTATTGCCACTCATGAAATTGTTTGGTTGATCCAGGGTACTGTTTAACAATTCGACATTATTCCCGCATTTGTTTGGAGCTATGGTGAAATGTATGGATAACTTGCCTTTCATAAAATTGGGTTGATTTTCCATAAATTCCACCAAAGCTTCTTTTGTGACAATGTAAGGTAATAGACGCTCTTCGCTATAGGTAATACGAAATTGAATCAAAGAAATAATAAAGGACTAAGAGAATACGGAAAAAAAATGATTTAATTTGAACGATCCATACTAGGTACCAATCATAGCAATAAGAATTAAGATTTAAGAATTGATACATTACTAATTGCTCGTGAACATACAAATTTCGACCAATGAACGTTTAAAATGTTCCGTCTTCCGTGCCTGTATCTGAATAATATTCGTGCACTAATGTCTAATAGTAGTTCGTAACCTAACCTATTATTGACTATTCTATTGTCAATTGGCATTCAAGAATACGGTTTTTCGTTAATCGTTAGTAGTAGAACTATAGGCGTGTTTACTGTAGGGACCGGGTGGGCACTGGCCCCCCCGGCAGACTGTGCCACCAACAAAATCATGCCAGGATAAAAAAGTCGTGCGGTGTGTACCCTGCAGTACCTATAGATTTTGATTAATTATAGTTATTTTAGTTACGCATTTATTAATTAGTGATTATAATATTATCATATAAATTTTTTTTTTTTTATTGAAATAAATCTACAATCTATAAATTATTTATTGTACAATAAGTAGGTTTGGTAAGTGAATAATAAAAGGTTATGAAATGAATCATGGAATAGGGAGGATATCCAGTGGTAACACGGTAACACCCTATAATATTATACCTACCTAACAGGTATAATAATCATTAATCATATAATATAAACACTTTATTAGTATCAGCAATTTACTTTAGGGGGACGAGGTAGCCGAGCAGTCTAAGGCGTCGGCTGTGGCGCAGCCGGTTCCGGGTTCGATCCTCGACCACCTGGCGGCATTTTTCTCCGGGCAAGTCACGGTGTCAATCATAAGTAGGCCCCATGTAGCGATACCTACCAACTTCTATTTTTCAAATGACAACCCAACTTTTTTACTGTAAATTAGTAATTACCAAACTGATTTTGTACTTATAAATCTAAATAATTGAAAATATGGTCTTTGGTATATTACTATATTCAATATTCCAACTTAGTAGAAGGGGCAGGAGGAATGTTCATGTAGTCATGTACATTAATAAGGAGAAAATATGAAGGCCGCCCCCACAAGGGCCGACAAGGATTAGTTACGTACCTACCGACTCGTATCGAGGTCTGAGTCCGATACGGGTCGGTACATATCGCTTGTATATTGAACGTATAACTTTTAGAACACTCAAAATTGACCCGATAAGTATCGATATACTACAATTTCTTCCTTGAAAATCTTTAATTTCTAATAAACAAAACAATGAGAAACTTTATAGTTTCAATCTATATAGATTCAAGTCTCATGTCTCAAGATAGTTTTTATTTTTTTTAATAGTAATATCACCTAATTCATATGGTCAATGCATATTTTTCAATTGCCATGATGCCATGGGCTAAGACTAGTGACCAGTTTAGTTTACATATTTTGTGTTGACATAAGTTATTTTACAATTTTAGTTAACTTCACAAATTCATTAATGGTAATTTGCACCAGTTAATTTTAAAATTTAAGTTGGCTGCAAGTGTTTTTAAATGATTATGCCTTAAATTTTGTTAAGGGAGGTTTAAATTGTACTATTGATTGACTACGGCCTTTTCAATTGAGCTTAACTTAAGTAAATACTATTTTTTTTCTATCAGTATGCGATTGTTATTTATCATTATTTGGTTACCTGTTTTATTTTTTCTGGTGTTAATTTTATTATATTTATATACTATGTACCTATTTATGTCAGTTTTCATTGTAAAAATAAAGTTATTTCAATACCATATTATTAATAAAAATAAAATAAAATAGAATTGAGTATCCCTAAAAAGTATTAGGATATTTTTGAGTTTATGATGTACAATAGTGAAGTTGGGTAAGAGTAAGGCCTGGCTCAAGGGATAATAAGCAACCTAAAGTAGAACTACGATTAAAGATATACTTTAATCGTGAGTAGAACTTACTTTAGTAGGGGGGGGGGGGGCGGAATTTTGAAAACAGTGATAATATTATTATTATTTTAGGGGCTTGTAAGTTGTAGTACTACTTTTGTCCCTGATAAGATACTCAAAAACAAATCTATAAAAGATCAGATTTTTTTCTTGGCTGGACATTATTGTTTTTTGACATTGGTTCAGCTTAAGTAAAGAGTAAATTTGATATGTCTTAAATTTGGAGCATTCAAATGACTTGTAAATAACTACTAGTCTACACGACTATAATATGTACTCTATAGTCTATACCATTTTCCTCCAAATTTTTTTAAACTAGAATCATGTCTGTACTTTTACAAATATTAGAATCACAGAGATCATTTAGAAGTATCAAAATATATTGCATGATCAACCTATGATTCTACTATTTGTAATACCTTATTCTAGGGTGCATGCAGATTGAATCTGGTGTAATTGGAAACAATCTAATAATAGGTAAAATATTAACTATATATTTAATAGTTTTTTGTACATTAGTAGTCAAGCCGTCAAGGAGAGCTGAATTTCAATAATAAATATTAAATCTTATTCAGTACTTGTATCTATTGATTAATCATTATAACCACTTAAATCTCAGAAATGATTAACATTAATAGACAAAACTCATGCCAGTTTTCTAAATTCAATGAGATGAGATGCTCAAGAGAAGAGACCAAATAATTGTAAAATGTGTTTCAATCTAATTACATATATGAGTATATACTCACTTAGTACTGATAATGTCTGATATATTATTTAGTTATTACTTATTGCCTATTTCATGGGGTGATCGGGTGCAAATGTAGATATATATGTATTTACCATAAGCAATATAACCTACATTCTATGTCTTTTAATCCACACGTAACATTTGGCTTTTTCAAACAATGCAAATGATCCAATGTGGCAGTGAAGTTGGATGGACATGGTTCACAAGAAGAAAACTCTGAAACTTTATCAACAATTTTGCTATTTTTTTCACAAATGCAACTTAACCCTTGATTTACAAAAAAAAATATTAATAATATTATCATATTTTATCATTAATATCCATTACTTACGATCTAAAGATGATTTCTGGTGATCGTTGCATTGTCTACATGTCATTAAACTGGGAACAAAATACTCGCGCTCAGAACAGTTTTCAGGTGTGATAAATGAAATAATTTCTCTGTTAGATGAGCAGAATGTTACAAAACTTAAAATAGTAATCAAATAATATAACTCCATAATTTTATTGTAATTGGATTTTTTAATCTACAAAATAAATAATTGAATCATTAAATCGTTAATAAATACAATAAATCATGATTACAACACCATTGTGATTAAAAGTACCTATATGATTTGAATATGTTTTTACACATATCCGTTTGTTATGATTCAATTACCATGGCAACATAATAGTAATAGGGGTTAAAATCATGTTTATCGGTGAGTTATAACAGTGGTTTCAGCTTTTATATACCCTTTATAAAAAAAAATGTAATGCTTCTACAATATTAGAAAAAAAATTTTACATTTTCCTTAGTAAACAAACAACTTTTTATGTACACACAGAATGAAAAATATTTGAATAAAGTGCAAAGAAATAATTTAAGAGCATAAGATGTGATTATTATTTATGTCTATTTAGTTATTATTGTTATAATTATTTTTATGAAGAAAATGTATCCGTTTATGTTTCTGAAATTGAATCTTTGTCAACATGTTCCTTTTTATACTTCAATAAAAATGCAGCTAGAAAACCCAATGGATCAGGAGGTCTGAAAGTTTGAAGAGTAACAATTAGAAACAGTTAATTACACTGATATACATATTATTTAGTACTTAGGTATCCCATTACTGAATTATCAGAGTTAACGTAACCGTTTGGCAATTTAATAAACATTTTAATATATTGTACATCAAAAAAATATAGTATGGTATTGGTGTACTATATTCAGTTAAGAAACATACTCGGTGGTGGTTAGGCAACACCTGTCCGATGCCCCCAACGAGGCTACCGTCAGTATTCTGTATGTCTACTGTGTAGTGAAACTGTGCAACTGCACACTAGTTGGTCACTAAGTTTGTTTGTTAATTTTAATAGAAATTCAAATAAATATAATATATTTTTCTAATAATATACTAAAAATTGAGCCCACAAAATATGTTCTAACATCAAATTTTCCAGAATAAATTCTATGCATTTATTATAATTAAACTGATGGGTACCTATACAACTTAATAATTCAGAATAACAAGTTCAAGTACTTTTTGTTTATCGCAACAACAAATGTAATAAAATATGTACCTAAATTAGGTACTGGATATTATAGGGAATTAAAACTAATAAATACTATAAAAACATTAATATTAATGTACCTAAGCGAATCAAAATATCTATATGTACTAATATTGTATTTTATAAATAATAGTCAAATATTGATTACCTTTCCTTGACTAACTCCTTCATGCCTACTAACAATGCCGGTACAACAGTTTGGTCTAAATATTGGCGCATGGGTGCATTGTGCTTGGGATTTTTCAGCCTTTTAGCATTACTCTCGGAGGAAGTTACCTTCTTTAATAAAAAAAAATGAACAAAAGATAGATATTAAGAGGACGTTGTACCAATATATTATGTTGTCTTTATCTTACTAATCTACGATATACCAGCAGTTCCAATTTTGTATTGTTAGCTTCAATATTAGAGTGAATTGACCTATTATCAAACTTAAATGTAAGAACATTTTCTGTGTTCTCTCGTTAGTGTTGTACAATATTTACATTTTTATTTGAGTTATGAACATTTTCAAATATTAATATTTTATAAAGGTACTTATAACTCAAATAAAAATTTAAATATTGTAAAACACTAACGAGAGAACACAGAAAATGTTCTTACATTTAAGTTTGATAATAGGTCAATTCACTCTAATATTTAAGCTAACAACACAAAATTGGAACTGTTAGATGAACATATTGATATATTATATATTAGTAAGATAAAGACACATGTACAGCGTCCTAATATACTTTTAATACTATTTTTATTATTATCATTATTATTATTGTTTTTTAATATTGATGTATCAATACCTGAGATTCTGAAACACTCGACTCTGGTGGGGCTTCAACGGTCGGTGCTACTGGAGTAGTAGGCACTTGCCCGTTAGTCGTTTCTATTAACAAAATAACGCAAAACAAATTATGTCAATAAATTTACTACAACAATTAATGTTAATGGTTGAAATTAATAGTGAAAAAAATATGCTCACCAGACGTTGACATAACTAAAATACTTGTAAATGTATACAATTAAAGACGATATTTCGGTTCACTTCAATAACTGTCGGCTCACAAATGTTCCAAAATATTCGAACTCACGAAAGCGAAAAGTTAAACATCACTGTCTTGTCAGTCTATTCAACTATTAGAATTAACTAAATGGTAAATACAATATATGATAGAATAATATAATATATATTATTATTATATATATATATATATATTTGTTTAGCTTGTACACATTATTATTGATAATAACAACGCAACGTTGCCACTCATCACTCACTCGTATAAGTTATATTGTATAAGCAGCTGGCTCTTATCGACTTAAAAATACTGATAAGAAGTAAAATTATTTTATTGACATGAGTAACTAGAGTAAGTACTAAGTTATCGATATTTATTATTTATACTTTATAGCACGTATTAAAAATTGTCTTGACTCATGACATGTGCCATGTTTTATGTAATTTAACTGCGCAGTAGATAGGTTTATAATTATACAAAAATATATAGTCGTAATCGTAAACACGAGTTAAGATATAATATAATATTATATTATATCGTATCAAATAAAGACGCGTATTATAATATGAAAACATGAAAACAGAAAAGTTGACTGCTTTTATTAAAAATTTAAAAATCTCCCAAGAGAATGAATATTGAACACAATAATAATATAATAGGTATAATAAAGTATAAGATATCAGATAAAAGACATAGTACTGTACTGTAGTAGTAGGTAGGTAGGTACCCAATTAAGAATATTTACGTTATGACTTTATGAGTTGTTTGCAATAAATGATTATTAATAAAAAGTTGTTAAATATTTATTCATTTCTTCAGGATGCATATTTTAATGTAATAATATATCTGGCAGGCACGGATCTAGAACTAAAATGAGGTGACCGGGTCATTTTTTCGAAAAGCCAAAAAGATAATCCACAATTAATAAATAATGAAAGTAAATAATTAACTAAAATTAGAAGTTAGAACTTGATTAATTAAGAGGACTCTTCACCCGCATGTATTGTCTCCGTCTTACAAATGAAAACAAAGCGAAAACTGTTTTGCACGGGAAAGAACCGAGAAGGCTATATGTAGCCATAGCCCATAGGCTATAGGCATAACTATGAAACGAAATTTCGACCACACAACAAAAAGAACATTGGCTGTGTAATACATAGGCAGAAATCCATTACAATTTCAGGGGGGAGGCTAACTTTATTAGCATCAATGTGAGCGGGGGTTTCGATCCTATACAAAACTAAAAAAAGGAGGGGGATTGACTGAATTTTGGGTGGGGCTAAGCCCCTTCAAGCCGAGGCAGCACTTTGTAAAATAATATTTAAGGACGTATAAGCACTTCGATAGAAGGGTCAAGGGTAGTGCAGGTCCTCACTCCTCGAGCGATTCCCGTATATTTGTAAGCGATTCATAAAGACTCGTATTTTGTTGTTTGTTTATGTATAATAAAGTTATTCAATGATAGTGTGAATACTGAATTGTCATCTGTTTTTTGTGGTGCCATCGAGAGATAGGTATCATTGTATCAAACACTGTGTTGTACATTTGAAGACGGACACAACACATGCTGGTGTTATATATTATATTATATCTTTTCTGTGATTGTAGTGTCCTCCTAATTTTTTTAATTAAATAACAAAGTTTAATCTCATTTGTTTTGTTTTTCCAAATCTTGAAATAATGTCATGGACATTTAATATTTACTTGACGACCGACGGCGACATACGTTTCCAGACGTCCACATCAAAATTAAATGAAATATAATATGATACACGTAATCAAATATTAATTAAAAGGACGTGTCATGGAAAAAATTCACTCGAAAAATTCCTTCTAAAAACATGTTTGCGAGTTCCAATAACATGGGTTACTGAGTGGTTTTAGCATAAAAACATCTATGAACAAAATTGTAGAGGAGATTCTTATCTGGTTATATGTAAGAACGTGCTTCTGTACGTCTTGTACTCTTGTGTATGATATTTTGTAACAAGTTATTAGAAGTAGAACCCAAATTAGCGAAATATGATATGAATATAATTTTTTATAATTTTATATAATATAACATTTTTAGTGTAAAAATAGAAAAATCTCAATTTATGCATACCTATTGTTATATTAATTTTGAAATATAATAAAAACGAAGGATCTTATATCTTGATGTTTGGATTGGTGATGGCATAGAACAATGTGATGGGGAAGCTAAGCCGCCTAAGCCAACATAATTTTTAGCCCCCTCTGTCATAATTTCTAGTCCGGCTAACGGTAGCTACATTTCAGATTCTGTGGAACGATGAATGTATTGATTTTGCAATGATGTGTGTTTTTTATATATATATATTTTTTTGTGTCTGTCATCACCTTTTAGGACAGTAAGAGACAAAAGTGCTTGGATTTTCTTCAACTGTATCTTTTCTGATAGGAAAGCGAATGTAGTTGGTACTTTGGGGTGTCAAAAGTAAAATTTTTCCAGTAGTTTTCAAAAGTGCCGTGAAAAACAAAAGAAAAATTAAGGAAAAACGGGAATTTTTACACAAAATTTGTTTTCCAAAAAATCGATTTTGGTTTTTGGTGCAACTCTTAAACAAATTACCGTAGGTACATAAAATTTTGACTGAATGTTTATATTAGCATTTTCTATACGCCATAACATTTTTCAAATATTTTGACTTAATTTGAGCAATATATATATATATTAATATCAATAAAATTTTATTTGTTGGTTAAAAAAGCTTGAAAATTTAATAGAAGGCTCCTAGATATTGTTTCAAGGGCAGATGAAAAAAATTAAAAATCCATAGTCACAATTTTTTTTTATATGCATTTAAAGTTAAAATATTGACAAAATACCAAAAAATGACGAAAATTTGCAAATTGTTTGGAGTTAGAAATTCATAAAAAATTTTCTTTTTAAATCTAAGATTTGAAAATGTAATACAAGATTCCTCACAAGTTTGTCTACCTTTATCAAAAAAAAAAATGTCTACAAGAAATTCAAATTAAATTTTTATGAGGGTTTGAAATTCATATTTTTACAACATTTGATATTCACTCGATTTCTCATGTAACGATTTTCTTATTTTGTTGTAATTAAAAAAAGATTGACTGTAGATACTTGAAAATTTCACTGAATGTTTATATTAGCATTTCCTATACACCATACAATTTTGAAAATATTTTGACTCTTTTGAGCTGTTTAAGGGCATTTTCAGTTTTCAATTTTTTTAGTTTTTTTTTCTATCATCAAATATACTTTGCTAAAAATAGAATTAGATTTTATGTAATCTTCCTCCTTCCCTAAGTACAACCATTGATTATAAATACTATAATACTGTACTGTACCTATAGGTACTAAAAATACTGTATTTATAATCAATGGCATCTACTGGCTACTACTTAGAATTCGTAAAAACCTCACAACAATTTCCGAGGAGGCTACAACCAAAGGTAAAAGGGTTACAACTAAAATGATTTTATCTATACACAATTAAATTTTTTTTTTTTTTTTAATTTTAATACGAGTATATTTTTATTTTTATTTATTTCGATTTTCGACACAATAGTGGGCCCCACTTAACATGCTCGGACCTCGTGTATAGTCTAGGCCCTAGTGTCATGAAGAACATTAACCAACAATTTTTTTGTAAAGTACCAAATATCAATAAAATATATTGAAGTTTTGTGACACGTGTAAGTATAAGTTTACCGGTGCCTCGACGCGTCGTGGTGACCCTTATGAGTTATGAAATTGACTCGAAAATTGTAATTGTTCGAGAGCTCGCAATAAGCTAGCTTGCTCGCTAATGACCACGCCGGGTGTATAATTTGTGCTTTTAATAATTTGTTTTACAAATCGCAATGTTTGGAAAAAGATATTACTTCCAAAATAATGATTTTTTAACCACCATCATTCTTCAATTCTTCACTGGTTGAAAATTTGAAATACATAGTATTATGTTTAAGCAAAAAAAAATCAAAAAAATCGAGTGGTAAATAAGCTGCAATGTGTTGTTCCAGATAAATATTAATAATTATTAAATAATAAGTTATTATCTTCTTATATTATAAAACACAAATAGTCTCCGTTTTTTGCCACCAGGGGCGACGCGACAAATAAGGAATTCCGCGTTTCTTCCATGACGACCAATCATATTACTTCTCGCGCGACGCAGCAAATAAGCAACTCCGCGTTTCTTCCATGACGACCAATCATAATACTTCTCGCGCGTTCGCTAAATTTTCACGTCGCCGCTCGCTTATCTCCCTTTTCGTTATTGTCTATTGACGTGAATATTTTCGAATATTATTTTCCCGAGTTATTCCGTATTTCTATATATTATATAATATAATAAAAATAAAAAAGTGCGTGTGCGATTTTTACAAAAATTGTGATATTTCCGTGTGTAAAATATATAAAATATGTAAAACGCAATATTCAGAAACTGTTCAAGTGTTATGTAAATGTCATTATTATGAATTTTATTATCGTACCGTTGTGGAAGCCGCCATTCAGCCATTCAGAATTTCAATAATATTAAAAATATAAGTAGTTTGAATGCACGGATTAGATAGACATTTTTCACGAGTATTGCAGTACATTTAACTATTATAGCTAAGAGTTTTAGTAGGAGCTTGGTGTGTCGATTGTTTATGACAATGTCGTTACATACGTAATAAGGTAAGTAATAATAAGTAAATTCAATACATTTAAATACGAGGGGTAATTACAGAAAGTTTGTACACCAGATTACTGATTTAAATGATTATACCTATGATTTCCCATGACTTACTACAAAGATTACCTATGATTACACATGATTACCCCCAAGGTGTTTACCCCTCGATTATAATATACTAATATTGTATTACCAAGTTTAATTACTTCAATTCATACCTTATAACTGTACTAACCTTTACATTGGGTTACACGTATTAATTTTTTGCAATATTTCAAACAAATTTCAAAACAAGAAAACTAC